ACCCCAGTTCTGGGTAGCACCAGTCCTACTGTCACAGCTGAACAGAGTCTGTGCAAAGCTGGTTTCTCCAGTCATGAGGCAGCATGAACCTGCAGCATTTCTCTTTAAATTCATAAAACCAGTAAGCCTCAGATTTCCTGTGCTGGGGTAGTCTGCCCCAAGATCCCATATATCTTAGCCCTGTGCATGTGTGCTAAGGAGCCTGTAAAAATTCTCTCGGATCTTAAAATCATTCAGGAAACCTGAAGTATTTGGCTCTCAACTAATAAAGAGTTTTCCATTGAGGCATTTTCTTTGTTGTGAAATTTCAGATCAGCCCTTTTTTCAAGGATGGTACTTGTTCAAATGGTGGGGAGGGAAGAGATAGGAAGCCTGACCCACCCCTCAAAACCAGGTGTGCTCCACTCCCAAAAAAGGTGGCAGGAGAGTGATGCATGGAATAGGGACCACTCATTTTTATTTGCTTAAATATTACAGACACTCAAGAATGTAGGGTACTGAATTTGCTTTTCACACTGTCATAAAAAGAAGTCAAGGCAAGAGATGTTGCTGCCTGCAATCTAAAAAGCAAACGCAATCACAGAGGTAGCCTTAGTCCTGGTAGGTACCATGACTACCCAGGAGCCAGGCAGCATTTGCCTCTTTAATAGGAAGGACAAAGCACTATACTGAAGATGTTCTGGTCTTACCCCTGCCATCACTTTGAGGCAACACATGTGTGCAACACCACGGTAATGAGAGATTATTCTCGTGTCCAGCAAACCTTACTTACATTGCCTCCTGGTGAGTCTTTCTGGGTGAAAACTCCTGCCTTTTCTGGGCTGGACGGAATGTGGTAAAGCTGCTTCTGCTCCTCCTGGAAACACTCGGCGGATCTGACCAGCACAGAGCCCTTTCGTGCGGTGGGTGGAGTGGCACCACTCTGGTCAAAGGGAATAAAACCAGGTTGACTTCAACCGTGTTGAGACCCCACTGGAGACTGGGACAGAATCAAAGGCTTTCAGGTCATATACTGCATGGTGCAAGGCAGCTGCCACCTAATTGCCTATCTTTGGGTCTGAGCAGGGATCACCCCACCTATACAAAGTGGGTAACACAAAGGAGTTTGTGGATAACTTGACAATAAATGAATTGGAGTGTGTTCAACCCTGTGGTGTCAGGAGCGCAAGGTGTGTGGAAAGGCTCTGTGGATGTGCTCCAGTCCCACACGCACCTTTGTGTGGTAGATGATGGGATGGGGCCTGGCATATGTCCCATCCTGGTGACCTGCACAGGCTGCAGTGAGACACAGAGGCAATAGGGTGACATTTGCTCTTCCCAGGGCAGCATGTTATCAAGAGCAAGATTGTGTAACAGGAGGCTTCAGCAGTAGATGCAAATCAACATGTTGCTCTTACCCTGCGTGTCTAATTCCTTGCATTTTCTTGCTCAGGAGGCAAGTGGTATGGGTGACATTTAGTTTCTTTTTGTACATGCACTAGTGACTCTTTTATGAACATCTTGAAATCTTCCTGATCAAATGACACAGAGACAAAGCATATTTCCTGATGGATAAACCAAGGCAGAGGGGCTGTCACTCTGATACTGAGAATTTATCTGTGCCCTGGAACTCAGTAATGGTAAAACAAGAAGTGTTTCTTAGAAGCAACCAGATTTAAGATACATTTCTCTAAATTCTACCAAACTCAAAAGAGAACTGCTTTACATCTTGAACTTCCCTAAAAATAGGTTATTTTCTGCCAAATTCTACAAAACGTGAACAGGAAAATACCAGAATTTACCTTAAACTCTATTCTAAGGTCCTGCAGAGTCAGAGCTGCAGGGGGGGACTATGGCTGGACTCACCTGCATGAGCAAGAGCTCCCGGCGCTGTGTGGATGGAACATCATACACCTCACTCCTGATATTTGGGACTGAAGCCCGGCACGCTCGCGGGAGAGTAAACAGATGCTTAGAGGGGGGGAAAAAACAACAGTGAGAGAGCTGCAGCAAGCACTAAGCTCAGGACATCTTTGAAAACTCAAGTTAGTTGAATAGGCCACTGTCAGAGTAATCACTCTTAAGTGATTAAAAACCTTCCAGCTTTTCACTGATGGTGGTAGACAGGAACTGACCGTACAAGTTTGCATGGTGTTTCCCCCCCCCCCAGGATTCTCCTTTTCCAGCATTTCCACTTTATTTCAGATAAGAGTTGGTACACACAAATTAAAGGTGATCTGCCTTACTAACCATGGGAAGGAAAAGATTCAGAGAAAACTCAGCTTATCACTTAAATCTTTAGACTACGCAAAAGCAGAACCACTAAATAAAGAAAGTGGGAAATTTCTACTTCTCCAGGCCCACAGAGCCATCAGGTCAAGTCTTATTTAGTGGAAGTAAGAGCAGCAAAAAGGTGCGGGCTGAGACACATTATTCTGTATTTATGAAAGACTGACTCATTTGGAAGGAGTAACCTTGACATCCTGTCTAGCTCCATTAATAGAACAGTCTGATATGAGAATTACATGAGGTCAGTTACAGACTAATTCTCCTGTTAGCTTAAAATGTAATTTGAAGAGCAATGACTGGTGGGACAGTGAGTTAAGGTGCCAAAGTATGAATGTTTGGAAAGGACATTTTTAAAAATCAACTTCCAAACCACTGAGTTTTGTTCGTTCAGCATGGGTTTAGCCTAGCTTTCCACAGACAGTTCATAATTGGACTTCTACACATTACTGACCCACAGAAACACTGCTGGAAAAGAGACATCACAGTATATTATTTAATACTGGAGGCAGTGTTCCGCACCATGTAAGTGGTGTAGCCACTGGATTCAGGGGGAATATGGTAGAGGAACCAGGCTCCAGATTTACAACTGCCTGGTTCATGAAGGAAAGGAGCAAGGAGTGAACACAAATCCCCTTAATGCTCAGTGACATAAGCCAACTTGCTTGTAAACAGAGGCATAGAAGAAGAGACTTTCCTGAGCTGAAAGGGTAAAAGGAAAGGCATCCTTAGCCCAGGTCTGTTTTCAGACAGACAAATCTTGCTCAGTATACAGCAAAAAGGAAACTAAACCAAGTTTCTCATCTTGTTATTTTTTAAAGTACTTGCAGTCACAGTAAAGCAAGAAGGTGCCTTGACGTTAGGCAGAACTGACAAGGCTTTTTCTATAGGATGAAAGCATACAGGCTTTGCGGGATTTTGTAGTGTTTATTGCTTTCAATCAGCTCCCTCAAAGACTTGCAGTGGCTTTACCCAGCTGCTCAGAGGGCAGCTGAGTATGCCAGGAACTTTGCCAGTTGTCCCATAGGATCTACATGGGACGGTCCAAAGTGCTGCAGTTCACTCTGCCCTCACAGAGCCTGTTCAGCCCTGAGCCTCCTTGTGCATCTGTGACCACTGCGGTACAGTTGGTGTAGTAACAGCTGGGACGTTGTGCAAGAAGCAGCCCAGGCAAATCTGAACTTCTAAAAGCAGCCTAAGACATTGTTTTTCTCTTTCTCTGTTAGAGTAAACAAGGCTTAGGTATATAAACTCATGAAATGACAGAGACACAGGAATAGCCAAGGAGATCTTCTGTTGGGCTGTTCATTCAGATCAAGAACAATAAACTACATTTTCCAGCCTGTTTGCTGGCACAACATGGACAATTGGTATCAATCTCCCATTCAATTTGCAAATGGCTTCTTTAAGGTTTGGAATGTGGAGAAATCAGCTCACAGCACTTGATGAGGTGCTGGAAATAGTAAAACTAGACCAAAGACACTGATCACACAGCAAAGGGTGGCTTTTTTTATTACAAATCATGTTCCTGTGCAGACGGGTGCAAAAACCCCACGTGTGCCCAGAGGACCCTGGATGCTGTAGATCAACAGAGGAGAAAGTTATGTGTCTTATTTTAACTCTGCGGTAGGTTTGTAAACCATTTCTAGATTGTCCCAAACAAATGGTATATTCTTTACTTCCTGCCCTATTTTACAGTGTCTTTAAACTGTCAAAAAAGTGAGGGACTACAGAATATAGAGACTATTATATGTTGCTCAGAGCAGCATTTCTCACGCAATGCTATGAATTGTAGCAGAGTTGATGGGAGTTTCCTAAACACCATTTATTTGAATGGCTTTGCTGTGAATTCCACCGAAATCTTCAGGCCAACAGCAGTTATTATTTTCCTGCTCCCAACAATTGTTTTAATAATAACACTTACTACTTTTATAGCTGCTTATGTTCTTACCTGGCTTGCTGACCTTTGCGTCCTTTCACTGAGCAGCTGTGCAGCCAACGCTGGTACCTGATATATTGCTTGGGCAGGTAGGGTGGAAGTCGTCGCTGGAGATTTAACCCACCCCTCCATCTTTTCATAGGTAGACGACAGCACAGTGGGCTTGGGGACGGAGGGAACCTGATAGATGTTTTGCTGGCCGCACGGTGACTCTGCGGTGCCGCTCCGGGTGGAAGGAGGCAGCAGGGCAGCCTGTGAGGCAGGGAGTAGCTGCAGGCGGGTAGGGGCCAGGCCCTGCCTGCCATGGAGGGAGCATCTCCACCAGCCCTCACTGCCGATGACGTTTTGGTCCAGAACCGTCAGGATGTCTCCTTTGCGGAAGGCCAGCTCATCGGAGCACTCTGCCTTGTTGTCATAAAGCGCCTTCACCAAGGTATTCTAGAGAGAGAAAACACACCAGCACTGCTGTAGTGCACTAACAGAAGTGTTGATTCGTTTCTGGTTTGGTGTTTAGAATCATAGAATGGTTTGGGTTGGAAAGGACCTTAAGATAATCCAGTTCCAACCCCCCTGCCATGGGTCACACTAGACCATGTCACCCAAGGCTCTGTCCAACCTAGCCTTGAACACTGCCAGGGATGGAGCATTTACCACTTCTCGCAACACAGCAAACAGTTGCAGCGCCTCATCACTCTCACAGTAAAGAACTTCTTCCTTATATCTAACCTGAACTTCCCCTGTCTCAGTTTGAACTCATAACCTCTTGTCCTATTGCTACAATCCCTGATGAAGAGATTTAATTCAATTTAACTCAAGTCCACCTAGTTTTGCTTTAAACACCATTTCTCAGTGCATTGGTTTCAGAGAGTTTAACATTTGCAGCCTGTGTCTGCTGTTCTCCATGCAGTAAAGAAATATATAATAATAATATAGCAATATATTTCTTCACTACCTTTTCCCCCCAAGGCAAGAGCACTGCTAATGTTCATTACTTAGACTCATTACTTATGCACATCTCCATATGAAAACCAGATGTTTTCCCATTGCTATTCTGTGACTTCTTTGTCAGAAGGTGCAGAAAAAACACATTAACCATCCAAAACGAAACCGCATGCCTTGCTGCCTGCTACCCAGCTAATCCAACAACTTCAACTTCACCTGGAAAAGGCTGATTATTTTTATCTATGCTCCCAAAAAAACCTGTCCACAACCAAACATGAAAAACATCCTCACCTTGCTTGTTTTCCTTTAAACTTTGTCTTTTCTCAGTCTTCTAAAGGCAGATGTCTCAGCAACATCAGTACTAAGGGGATTAATAAGTGCCCAGTGGCAACACCAGTGGCAGAAATACTGCTGGAGAGCTGTGGTGTTGTGAAGATCCAGACTCAGCTGGCTGTGTCCACATCCACCCCGGACTGCAGCGTTGGATCATACTGATTCAGAGCATCCAAGGCTAATGACTTATGTGACACATCAGCTGAGGGACAAACCTAATTTTGCACACAGTAACAGCAAACAAACAGCTCTGCTGGCTGCCAAGTCTTCATGACTGGTCAGTGCCTTCATCAGCATTTCTTCAGGTAAGCACACCTGAAACAGTGTCTGTGTTTCTCTCCATCACACAGACATTACCTGTACCTGAATACCTCTGTCTCCAATACATCTTGCAGCATCTTCATAGAGTGCTCTTTTAGACAGGAAACCAAGGAAGAATAAGCAAGAGATCCTAAGATCATAGAAACTGCCAGATAGCAAATACTCATCTTTCCCAGGTTCTTCACTGCTGAGCAGCCCTACCCTCTCTCAGCTGAAGCCCATAAATTTCTGGCAGTTGTGAGTGTGTAGATCACCATGGGTTTTTTTTATCATATTTGCTGGGGTATTTGCCTACTCTACACAAGATGACAGTTAAAAGAATAAAAAGGGAAGGAGCATGTAGTTTGATCACCCAAGGCATGTGTGCAAACTGCAGAGCGAGCTGTGGACATAGTGTTTTGCAGTACAAGGTACCATTTGCTTTCAGCTTTAAACCAAGACTGACTGTTTCTCAGTCAGTGAGACACAGGCTGTTTGTAAGCATTAGTTTCTTATAAGAACATGCAAGTAACGTCCAAAGAGATAATAACCAAACAGGAAATGTGATGCCTTGTATTTTTGTCCAGAGCATTTGCTGTAAAGCAACAGCTGGCTTGAAGTTGCAGCAGGAAAAAAGCAATTTGTCAGCTCAGCTGATGAAAACGGCCTGTTGCTAGCAGCATGCATTTCTTGGTCAGGGTGGCCATGAACAATGGCCTTCTTATGATACATGGGCCTGTCCATCAGCAGCTGCCAGAGATGGACAACAGCCCCATTTACCTTACATCCAAGCCTTGTTAAAACAGCCTTCGTGCCTTGAACATGGGAGTCCACTTTCTATTTGGACCATGCCAAATGCTCTGAACCACCTGTGTTAAAGGCAGACCTTCAGGAATTCTACCACAGAGCACAGTCCAGGCTGGGCTTGGGCTTCACACATTGTTGCAGTTGTGGAAATAAAGAGGAAACCAGCCAACTTTTCCTATTATTCATCAGCAACACTTCTAGATCCCTCGTAGTTGGATGCTGTACAGACACGCTGAAAGACAAGATCTCCTCATTCTGACCTGAAGAGGACAGGCAGAGGTACGCTCACCCCCTTTTGTAACCAGGCAACTGAAATGTGAAGAGCCTTATCCAGGCACATGCAGGCAATCGGTGGCAGAACCAGGAAGCCTGAACCCAGGAACTGGGACCCTGTCTAATACACTAGACAATGAGGCTGTCTTTCCTAGCTGCACCAACACAAATGAGAGGTTTACAATATGGTTTTAAATGGCATCTAAACGTGACATTTCCCCAGTTAAGTCTTGTGGAAATAGAATAACAAACACATTGTTGGTTCTTATTCTTTAATCAACCAACGTGTTGAAACTACACTAATCTATTCTCAAATCTCATTTGTTTTAAATATGCTGATTTTCACTAGGTTGGAATTTGGCCTGTACACATCAGTGAGAATTTCTGCAAAGAGTACCTGTAGACTGCAACCTAAATCACACAGAGTGAGGAGATTCTTCCTATTCAGCAATACTCAAACACGACTGCAGCAGGTACTAGCAGGATAAATTATTCCAACTATTCTCTCACTTCTTTCTCCAGACACTGCTGGATCTGCTTTGCTGCAAAACAAGTGAAGCGAGAGAACTGCCAGGTCAATGAAAGCAACAGGGAGGTCTAAACTCTGTTCAACAGCCAAGCTATTCCACAGACAGGTTGCCAAAACTCAACTGACCACCCTGTCATTTGGCAAAGGCAGATGATATAGTCAGGGGCACTCACAATGAATGAAGAGTTGAATTTTAAACTTACACCATGAAAGTCACAAAACTTTTCAGCAGAGGGGTCCCTTCTTGTGAAGCACAGCCCAATAAAGCTGTGCCAGCATCCAAGGGCAAGTAGGTACCCACAGCAAGGTACCTTCAAAGCAGAACACAGTGGTTCAGATTTTGAAAGGTGGTCTCTGATCTGTGGAGCTCAAATTAGGGCGTGTGGGCTCACATTTGTAGGCAGCACAAATACTCAGGAACCCTCAAGACCACCTCAATGGCAAGCCGAGCAGGGGATTAAAAAAAAATAAGAATTAAAAATCACAGGACACTTTGGAAAACCTGATAAAGCTGGAACAACAAATCTGTTCATAGATCATCTCATATCCCATCCATAGGGCTGGAACCAAAGTGATGGAGACAGGCCCAACCTTCAGACTATAGAACGAAGTGCGAGATTGTCAGACCTCTGAACCTTTCCACAGGTTCTTCAATGTAAGGCAGTGCTAAATTAGATTTCAAGGTTCAGGACACATGGTTCAGGACACAGCTATAGAGCTAGAGAGCAAATATTTTCCATCCACTCTGTTTCAGTATTGCACAAGTGCACAGCAGTATAATTCGGTTCTTTATGCTTTTCTCTCAGTGGAACCAGCTCATCACTGGCACAAGAGGACAGCCACTAGTGCAGATACAGCTCCAGGTGACAGTGTCCCAGCTGGCTTGCAGCCCTTCATGACGTTTTTCAGTGCATTTTGAAATGGGTAGAGAAACTTAAGAAAGTATTTTAATGAAGGCTTTTTTATCCTTTTGACTTGGAACTAGTTCTAAATGAATTTATAAAAAGTAGAAACATTTAAACACAAAAGATATTAGTAACTTGTAACTAACAGCCCCATGCAAACTCTTTCAGAAGACATCCTCTTGTCACAGTGCAATATGAGGACGCAAAAATCCCCTAAACCATCCAATTCACTACGACAAAACAAAAAAACCCTGCCAACATCTTCTTTGAACAGACTCTTGTGTGCCCACAGCCTGGCAGAAAGCTGCAGCAATGCATTGAAAAAACAATACAATCGGCACCACACCACAGAAGTAAGTAGTTTCTGCTGAATTCTAATCTCCATAAAAATGGAGAAGAAAAAACATTTTCACAAGGTGTAAGAACAACAGGTTAAGCAGTTCTGCCTTTGTATTTTGCTCTGTCTTCTCCTTTGCTCCTCTATTTACAGGACTAGTAAGTCCCTCTATTTCTCATTTCCTTTCCAAGCATTCTGGTTGCTCACTCAGCCTCTCAGGACCTGACTGCACCAGGGCTGATGTGGAAGCACTTCTGTCCAGTGTTATCTCCAAAGGAATGCAGGCAATACTGTTTGTATACGCTCCATTAGTTTTTAGGAGTCCCAGCTGTGGATTCAACAAGTATTAGGCCACGATGCTGAAGCAGATGTTGAGGATCAGCCTAATACTGATAAAACCAACTGTAACAAGCTCACAGCAATGACTAGCATCACAGGCGCTGATGTTGTTAGCTATTTTATAGGATATACATGCAAGCAAGTGTTGAACTAGCAAGCTTTGGTACCACAAGTGCTCTGTCAGCAAAGAGTTTGCTGACAAAGGTAATGGATTTTCTAGCGGGATTCAGGTGGTACTGAATCCCATGGCTGGAGCCACTGAGCTGGGTCAGTTATGAAAGCTAGATTGATATATCAATGTTCCACTGAAATTAACCCCTAGCAAGACTCCTGTGAGGAGGGTACAGCCACGCTGAGTAAACCAAATCATGGCGGGGCTGGGGAAGGGAAGGAGCCACCACTCTACCTGTGCCCTGTCCCATGCTGCCCACAGCCAGCTCAGCATCCTGTTGGCTCCATCTGATAGTATGAAGAAAGTGAATTACTGAGGAGCCACCAAATGCCAAATCTGTTCCAATTTGCTTTCCAAAGAAATCTGATTTGATGAGACTTCTCAGAAAACTCATCCCAATTGATTCTGTGATCACAATCACTGGGAGTAATTTTATAGACAGAAGTTACAGGAGGTTTATGGGGTGAGTGCTTGACCTAATAGCACAGATAGCCGAGGTCTACCAAGTAATGTGGCTTGAGGTTATTTGTACTACAGGCTCTGGCTCATCCAGTGTGGGGCTGTTAGTCAAGTATTGGGCCCTATCTACGCTTTCAGCTATCCAGGACATATGTAAGGAATCACTGTGGCAGTCCCTTTCTATCATGTAAGCAGAAGCATCTCTGACCTGCCATTAACCATAAACAAGTACTGCATTCCCAGGATCACAGAGACCTTATGGGATGTGTAGCTGGGAGGAAGCTGTGCTGTGGGGCCAATGGGATCTGCACTTTTTCTTTACTGCCAGAGGAGTGGAAACAGGCTGTCTAATGCTGTCACTCACAAAATGCCATCGAGGGCCAGCTCTGTACAGCTCTTTGTTATTTTATGCAACCTCACTAATGTGTCTTTACAATAACCAACTTGTGGTAAGTGCTAAAGCAACACGGATGAGATCAAATTGTTTTCCCTTCTTTGATGTTTGCTGCTTCTTCCCATGAGCAGCCCTGAAAGAAATCTCCCAAGACAAAGAACATCTTAAAAGCCTGTCTCTCACCCCATGAGACAGCACCTGCAGACAGTGCTGATACTCTTCTCTCACTGAGCAGATTCTAACAAGACAGCGACAGAGCACAGACCTAGAAAACCGAGGCTGCATCTCCATCCTCCTACCGAGACACTGTTTTCCCACACACAGTCCACGACCATGTTGGAGTGATGCAAGTTAGTCACATAGAATCATAGAATAGTTAAGGTTGGAAAGGACCTTAAGATCATCTAGTTCCAACCGCTGCCATGGGCAGAGATGCCTCACACTAGACCATACCGAATGGATTTGCAGTGCAAGACCTCTGCTAACACAGGTTCAGTTAACTTAGGCATGTAGAAAAATTCTCCTGTAGCTGGAAGGGTGTCTCCCTTTAGTGGAGTGTAAATCTGATGTTAAGACAGCAATTCTCCCTGCAACTCAGACTTCTTACATCTTTATTGTTTGTGTGTCCTCACCAAGCAGCGCTCCCACTATAAAACCTAACAGCTCTTGGGAATCTTCACAATGAAAGCTGCTAACTCATGTTTATTAATGAAGAGAAGGAAAATTTTAATTAGGACTCGGTAAAGCTGATGATTGTACAATTCTACAATACAAAATGCAGTACTCACAGACTGACATCTGTGCTTTATATACACAGTAAATATCTGTGCTTTTGCTGAGGCAAAAAACCCCCGCCACGTTCTCCTGATTCCTCTCTTGTTCCAAGCCCTGTTCTCAGCCTATACAACAGAAAAGAGAAGACCTTTTAGTCCTTATAAAATATGTGCAAGTGTTGCATAAAAATTCTTCATGATTATCAAGTGATATCTGAGCATCCTGCCTGCAAGTCTGCCAAAATAATGTCTCTACCGCTCCCCTTTCCACTCAGTTTGTATTTGGAACATCAGTTCACTACCACACACTGTTTCACATGATACAGAGGTCCTGTAGTGTCTCACAGCATTTAAAATGAAAAATAACATTTTTTTTTGTCTACTGCCTTATATTTGCTTCTTAAAAAAACCTATTAAAGTAATCTTAAAAAAGAGATAGTTTTAATCATGGGAGGTTTTGTGGATGAAGACAAATATTTCTCAGCTGCATTTCACACATAAAAATCCATCTGTAAGCACTTTGACTGCAGGAAAATGGGATTTGACATATTTGAGAAGAAGGAGAAGATACAACTAAAGGCAGGGGGTTGTGTTTGCTGAACAGTGATGTTCATGCATCAGTGACACCCTCTGACATGTTTACAGAACTGTTTCTAGTTAATCCCCAACAGAACTGAAGAAATAAACATCCTCCATTGCCCGGTGAGCTGAGAACAGGCTTTCCAGAGAAGCCCCTTTTAAACAGCGCACCAGACAGAGTCAATTGAAGTTTTGCCCAATTCATTTAATTGTAGAGAGAGTTCACATCTTCAATATCCCACTGAAGAAAGGAGAATCTATCTTGAATGCTCAGCTCTCTCCACATACATGTGATGTGCCTTCCTTCTACTCATGTCCCATTTGATGCACAACATCTTCTGTGACTTGCAGAAGGTCCTTGGCCTGTGCTTTGTTTGTGTGTTTTGGAAACCAAGTGCTGTGATCATATAGAAGTTTTGGACCATGAGCTTCAACAAGGAACAAGTGTCAGGGCTTGTTTTATTGCCTATTCAGTGGCCATTTTTTTGAGTGGAGCCAGCTGCTAATCAGCAGGTTTGAAATTCTGAATGGTCAAATCAGTTTTTGATGCAATAAAGAAGAATCAGATTAAAAACTCAAGCAGAACCACTGAGACACAGAACTTGTGCAGCTTCACGTTAGTCAGTGCTGCAGAGGTGGGAATTACAAGCCAGTTCTATTAATTTTCTCTGCAAATTCACTTAATTACATTCCAGCTGTGTTAGACCCAACAGACCCCTCCTCTCCCAGTTTCAGCGCAATCAGGATTTCATTCCCATTCACAGCATTTTTGCATGTGTGGTCTCATGCCTAAGTTCAAGGAAAAATAAACTGCCATTTCCTGATACTTAAAAAAACAGAATATGTACTTATGGGGTTTGGTTCCTCCCACAACCCTAAGGGTTTTGCCTATATGCACCAAATTACTTTACTTTTAGTATCTTAGTTACGTTTTGCTACAACATTTATTTCCAAACGTGGATTTAAAGAGCCAGAAAGTTCTGATGCATACAAGTTTTCTCTGTCTGCATCCTAAACAATAGATGCTTCAGAGACTCCTTAGAGCAGGGTCCTTCCTCTGCCTACCAGGGAACAAGCAAACAATTCCTAGGATGGGTTATCAAGAGCAAACCGCACGTTTTCCCTTTGCAGGCACTGCTGTACATCCCTGCTCTGGATGCACAGGGGTGTCCCACATCCCATCTGACCCACTGATACCCTGGATGGATCAGAAACGACAGCAGCGCAGGGGCAGCAGCTCAGGGGTGGGTGTTCTCTGATTCATAATGAGTCAGCGGCCACACAACTCTCAAACGCTGCAGCTTCCTCCAGCTCTCCCGGCGCAGTTATCTGCCCCAAAATGGTATTCCTGTTTAAGACTACCCTTTGGGACCAAGCAGCCTTTATCCGGAATGTTAATGTTTCCCTGGGCAAGGGTGCGGGAGGGTTTTCGCCTGCCCTGGTCCCCAGCGCACACCATGGCTCCGGCCAGCAGCTGAACGTTGTCATTAGCAGCGGGCACACGGGGGCTGCACAGACCCTGCCCGAGTCACAGCTGCCGGAGCTCTGCTGTACATCCCGCTGAAAGATCCACCTCGGTTCACAGCCAAAGAAATGCTCCTTAACACAAACCAGGATAATTCCAGGAACCTGCATATGCTGGGCTGGAAGTTTGGGCAAAACCATGGACATACGACTGTATAAACCATTTTTTAGTCATATTTTTGATGCATCCACTTCTTCCCCCCTCCTTCCATCCCAGGGCAGTATTCCCTAAAAGTGAACACCACCACCGCTCCTTTCCTCTTTTGAGCTTCAGTTCTCTTTGCAAATTTGAGCACTGCAGTGTTATCCTAGAATGAACAGACTTTCCCAGGCTTGCACAACTCATATTGATGTTTTCTTCTTCAAAGAGCGACTCGAGCTGTTGACACATTTTCATCGCCTATTTTCTAGTAATCAATGCAAACCCCCCCAAATATATATATATATAAAGTATGGCTCAGGTGTTAATCATTTAAGCTCATTATTTCCAAGAAAATATGCAAAGCAAGAGACATACTAATGACCAGCCAGGCCCACTCATGGTAACACTTTAACAAGGTGTATTATTGCCTCATGTGCAGGATACACAAAACCATACCCTTTTTAACCACACCGTTGATCTTGATAAAGCATTTTTTCAGTTTGATTTGGATTGTACAGGTTTTTACACTGTACACATTTCCACTCCAAATGAAATAAGTCCAGCCACTAACTGCAACAGAAATACAATAAAGCAGTACTTACATTGACCTTCATTGTGTTGTCTCCTGCCTCCCTTGTTACTCCATCACCTGGGGAGGAGGAGGATGAAATCTCCCCCAGCCCTTCCTCTCCAAGCCCAAGCAGATCAGGCAGCCGCAGCGGAAGGTCTGGCTGGAAACCCCGTCCCAGCCCTGCTGCGCTCACGGGCAGCCCCGGAGGAGCGCAACGATTGGGAACCGAGGGAGCTAATCACGTAGCAGAATTACCTCCAGCGGCCGGCAGCTGCTGCGGGGCCGTGCGGGGCACACACAGCGTCCGTCCGTCCCTCCCTCCCTCCCTCCGGCAGCCGCCCCAGGGAGCGCTTTTGTGCTTCACAACCGCATCCGAGCAGGGACCCGCGGGGCTGAGCCGGGCAGCGGGGCTGGGGTTTGAAGCATCCTTTACTCTTGGTTTGTTGAACTTAAAAGGGGTTTTGCTTTTAGATTTCGGTGTTCAGGTCCCTGGAAAACTGATCAGGTCTCTGTTGTTATAGAAATCCCTGCAAAATAGTCTCCCTCTTCAGAGGCAGAAAACCTGAGGAAGAAACCTAAACAATGACTGTAGCCGAAGGGGGATGTTCCTTTCATTATTATTAAAATAAATCTTTAATGTTATTAAATAACGGTTATTTCAAATTATTCATAGTTGCTATTTGCTCAGCAACAGCTATGCCTGGGTCACACTTACGCAAATGCACAAGTGTTACCACTCTGCACTTGCTGAGTATCTTGGGGTTTGCAAACTTTTACTGGCTTTGCTTTTGTACATGCTGCCTTTGCTCTGGCAAAAGTCTTTTCCTTCCTCTTTCCATGGTAGCTCAAGATGCAACTAGGCACTAGCTTTCAAACCCACAATCATGCAGCTAGAAAAACCATGCATCTTGAATAGGAAATGCTGCATTGAAAATGCTTTCTCAACAAAATCTACATGGGGCAGGCCAGCAGCTGATGCCCTTGTCCACATGAGAAAGGATTCCTGGCACAAAGCAGCTCATTTCAATGCTTCTGGGGCTCTGTTTTTCTTTCTTTAATATCACAACCAGCAGTGTTACTGTTTTGCACACTCCATGCAGAAAATAAAGAGCAGCCATTCACTGACTGATTTGGAATTCTCCGTATGTCACCAGCATTTGAAATGATCCAGAAATACAAGTAACAAAGCTGCAATCTGTGGCCACAAAGCTACTTCCAAATACAAGTAAATGTTCTCTTCTTCCCTGTGAGGGTGCTGAGGCGCTGGCACAGGGTGCCCAGAGAAGCTGTGGCTGCCCCGTCCCTGGCAGTGTTCAAGGCCAGGTTGGACACAGGGGCTTGGAGCAACCTGCTCTAGTGGAAGGTGTCCCTGCCCATGGCAGGGGTTGGAACTGGATGAGCTTTAAGGTCCCTTCCAGCCCAAACCAGTCTGGGACGCTATAAGCCGGGGCAGACAGAGCGTATCCCCCTCACCCCAAAGATGTTTACTTAAGTGCTTGCTTAATTGTCAATGGTTCTTCCTCAATCACCCACACCAGTGATTAGAAGCTTGTATTAACTGGCATAAATTACATGAGATTAAAATTCCCTGGGTCAGAATTTTTTCGTCCATGACACAACTGAAGTTTTACCTGTAAGATTTCCCCAGGAAAGCTGGGCACTGAGTCCACTTCCACTCAACTGCATCCCTGAGAATAGCCCCGTATTTATTCTCTGAGGAAGATGGAGACTCTCCAGTATTTCCTCTTGGCTAAGTGACTCCTTGTTCAGTGTATCAGCTTTGGCAAATCCTATTGTGAATCACATTATTTGCCCCCAGGTGCTGGAGGTGAGTCTGGGGGCCTGCACCCGGGGCTGTGGGAGCACACGTCACCCACATAACCACATTGCACGTTGGTCTTCATGCACTTGTTTGTGGACAGGATGGGAACATGTAAACTGGGCATTTTGGAGGGGGAGAAACCCTCTCCTATTTTTCTTTGGCAACAGAAAATGTTGTCAAACAGTACAAGAACTATTTCCCAAGCACAGCCCATCACACAAACTGTGTTTTAAAAGACACCATGAGGTGCAACGTTTCCTGTGCAGACTGGGTTGCAGGTGTGTGTGCAACAAGAAAGAAGTTACATCATTTCTCCAGCTGCACTTGTGTCCTGGGTTCATTTTCAGGAACAGTTTTCCTTGTGAAAGTGGGATAGTTTGGGCATGGTGATAACTGCAGAGCGTTACCTGTCCCACCAAAGCTACTGATGGTTGGCACGTGGTGCTTCAAGTCCAGCTAGTAGAAAAAACACATCCCTAATGTTTTTGTATTAAGTGTAACATTCAACTATTACAATAAACAGTACTGCCAGGGGAGTAGGAACCTTATAAACAGTTAATATAGTGGAAATAAATTTGACTTTTTCACTTGTTACTCAGCTGAATTTGTCTGGGTGTGCTCTGGCCATGTCTAAAGATCACACAACAAGACAGGAAATGAGCTTACTACCACCATTACATTTCTTTAGCCACTTAAGAAAACTGAAAATACCATTCCTAGAAATAGAAACTCTATTCTCTGTATAGAAATCATACAATTCTATGACATTAAAAATGTCATTTCTGATGACTTCACATGAAGAATAGTCCTCTTAGCTCTACATGCCTCAATGGCAAATTTTGAGTACAAAAATGACTCACTGTGCTGGTACTGAGCTTTTTCCCCTCTACTATATTTTGTGTCAAATTTCCAGGAATGCAGTTTATTTACAACGAAAACTGAGGTCATATTTCAGGATGAAAATTATAATTCCATTACACTGCTCATTAGACTTGCAGACAGTAGCACAATCAAGGCACTGAGTTGAATCAAGACTTCAGCATTCTCTAACCCTTATACCTGCAGCAGGGTATTTTATCTACGTATATATACATAAAATCATAGCAGATACAATATGAATACACAAATAAAAGCAAAACCCTTCATAAGCTAGTTCCGGTCTTTCAAAATATACAAAAACAATATTCAAAATGGTTTGTGTGTAACATAGGGAAATTATCCATCACACAACAAGTTACCTGGACTGTCACTGAAAGTCTCTGACAGCATAATCACATCTTTAATGTTACTGCAGGATAGAGTAAAACTGTTGGAACCTTGAAGTTACATATTTATTATTTCACAAATGTGTTTATTCACAGATATTTGCTACTTGGGAATCCTGCTTTATTCAGAGCCCTCCCTAAGAAGACATTCCTTCTGGGTAATAGTTTCGTAGCAACAAAAAATAGTTTTGTGACAGTAGGTACATGGGCATCGTAAAGAGCTTTCTGTGCAGCTCAAGAGAACACTAAGCATTTCCCACATCACCCAGCGTCACGCTGAATTCAAACATCAAACCCTCCTCTAGGCCCCTTTGTCTTGTTTATATGCTGTACACAGAAAACCAGGCCTACCTTTGCAGTTCTGTCGATTCTCATGTTTTTATCCATTGCTGTCATTCACATCGCCTGGAGCAATACAAGATAACCACGGCAGGAGGAAGAGCCTCTGGCTTTGCCCAGTCTCAGTGTGTTAGGAGCTACGTCTCAAGAAAGCCCATCTGCATTTAGGAACTTGTAGAAAAGATTCTCCTGAAAGACAATTTCTGTGACAACAGCCAAGTTTACAAGGAGCAGAACACAAACCAGAAAAGCCCCATTAGCATCTACAAGCAAGAAAAAGAGCCTGTCTGCAAGTGGAATTTTCCTTGATCTCACTGTCACCAACTTGTCGCAATTAACCGCAGTCAGAAGTTTCAGCCTTTGGGTTTGCTACATGTTCCTGTATTTCCTCTTTTAGAAATGGAATGAACACAAGAATAATACGTACCACAAGAGGCTGCACAGTGCTCGATGGAAACAGGACTGCTACAGTGGTATCAATTCAGGAATTTGAAGCCAGTTTTTATGCCTTTCACATTTTCTCAACTTTTAAGACACTGATAGGGGTTTTTTTACAAAGGAGCTTTGGGAAAACCTTACATGTTACCATCCACTTCTGGGGTGAATGCTGTGTGAAAGACTCCTCCCGGCTGCACCAAGGCTCAAACACATACAATGAGGGAATGCATTCGGCTCCTGGCTTGCAGCATCTGCTCAGCGAGCAGAGCAGTTGTGCTGCAGCAAGTTTGAAGGGTCCCTTACAGCCAGCCAGAGAACTTCCTAACCTGAGCTACAACCACTGTAAACTACTTTGCCTTGATGCACTTCGTATTTTCCTGGGATTCAGCTTTGTTGGCAGCTCTCACGGAAAGCTAGCCTCTCTGTCCAGGAAATGAGAAATACTCATCCCAGCCCAGAACCCCTTCTTCAGTATAAAGCTTGAAATCTCTTTAAAAGGGTGGCAAATTAGCCTAATTCCAGAAGGAGCCCTATAGGAAAGACTATCCCTAAAGCTGGGTGCCAATCCATGCCAAGTCAGTGTGCTGAAGAATGCTGAAGGCCGAGAGATACCAATCCATAGTTACGGTTGTCTTCAAAGCTGCTTTCATGCCAGCATGGCTCTCTGGCTGAACGCGTGAGCTGTGGCACCACCTCGCCAAACTTCCATGACAGCTTCTTCCAAGGAGAAGCAAGAGTGGGTTACGCACCAGACAGACACAACAGACCTTTAGACAGGTGACACAGGGTTTCTTGAGGAGGTGGTAAATCCCGAGTACAACAGTGCTGCTCTGGGATGTAGCTACTGAGAGGCACAGACTGCAAAACTCATGGAGGGCAAGTGGCTGCACCGGAGTTTCAATTCACGAATGCGGCTGCTGGGTGTGAAGCTTTCCTGACAGCAGCAGTATGATCACCTGAAGAATGTTTACTGAGATACTTCCAGACTTGCACAGCTGAAGGATGCATTCCCTCCAAGCAAGTGCAGGTCAAACAGGGTGACAACATGTGTGCACAACCTTGTTCTTCACAAGGCAGCTATAGCTCCTCTTCACTTACACCCTTACTTGCTCCCAGTGCTGTACGGCAGCCTTGCCCCCACCAGCCACCTTCCACCAGACCACCACTGGGATGCTGTAGCACTACACCATTTCACTCCAGGACTGCATTATCTACCTAAAGAGGATGAGTTTAAATTTCTTCCAGCCCTTATTCCTCAAACAGAAAACCCCAAACTTCTGGCCTCAAGAAAGATGATACAGATATGAAAAGCAAGAAAGATGCCAATGGCAGGATGTTCTTGTGTTAAATGAAAATAACTATTTCTACATTTTACAACTACATTTCTACAACCTACAACTACTATTTTAAATAGTGTTTTTAAAGTAGAAAAAGTCCAAACACCAGTAACAGATGTATTACCTGGGGACAGCCTCCTTAACAGAACTGACATGAACACGGCACTCCCCTCAACACTGCCACTGCTATCAGCTTAGCAGCTGGGCTGCAGCAGAGAAGGGTGGCTGTCGCTGAGTGAGCAGAGAGTGCACCAACTACTGCACATCAGGACTTCCCTTTTGCCTCCCACCAAGCTCTGGTTCTCCTTGTTTCTCCACGAAAAGAGCCACCAGAACTGCTCTCTCATGCCTCCCATTTTTCTAAAGTTTTAGAAACTTGACGGAAGGCAAAGAAGGAGCAAAGAGGATTGCTGAGCCTAAGGAATGTTTCCAGAGCAGTAGCTTTTAAGAGAAAAAAATTGCATTCTCTCTTTTAAAAAGCAATCCCATATACTGCAAATGTACAGTTGAGTCTGATTCAGATGTAACACACCAAATGAATTCATCAAGCTTCAACATGTCCCCAAAGACACAGCTTTCCACTATTAATTTCTTTGTTATATAGAAAACTAATACATTTCCTTTATATATTAAATAACTTTTTATACGGTAATTTTTATTTAAATACAGCCAAAACCTGTACCCTCGTAAGCCCTTGATGAGACACTTCATCAGTGGGAATGGGCAGTTAACCCAGCAGTAAGAGCAATCTTAAAAATCCTGATGAAAGCAAGTGCTGAACTTTTGACTGGAGGAAGCCTCCCAAACATGACGTCCAAGAGCACTGTGCAAAGATGCCTCAGTCAACTCGTTTAAAGCTTTGCACAGGCAACTCTCCGTAAAAATTAAGTAGTGAATTTTCAAACTTACAGTAGGTTTAAGCACAGCTTCTTAATGAGCTGTACTCCTGCTAAAAAAAAGGTCTGGGAAATTTGTACTATTAGAAATAACAAGGAGAAGAAACACTGAGTCTGGGTTTCTGAATAATTAAGAAAAAATGTAATTCAAGTGCCGTGTAACAGAATGAAAACGTCTCAATAAAATGAAGCAAAATGACATTTCTGACGTACATATACAAAAATTAATACGCACAACAGCTTCTTGGAGAGGATACTGAAGGTCTCTATGGCAAAATTATTCTCATTTTCACACGCCACAGCACATTTTACATTTGCAATATGGGTACTTCTTGAAAATATCATTAATTCACTTTGAGATCCCACTTGTCCAGATAAATCCAAAAGAAGACCATGTTTTAAGTCTGAGCTGTAATACCAGAGCTAGAATGCCATTTCTGGAATTCATCTAAACAGTTTGAAGTCCTGTTTCAAGTTCTTATGGCACAAAACTGGCTCAGAACTGAAGGGCCACTTGGCCAAACAATTAAAAAGAAAAAAAAAATCCACCAAAAAAACCACCCAGACTAAAAGATACAAAATAGTTTTACAAAGAATGATCAGAACTAAAGGCAGCTTAAGGCTTCATTAAAGTATGTGCCAAGTTCTGCTGTTATTTGTGTAATCCATTCTTTAAACAGACTTCAGTGGGATTGCACAGATACAACACAGAGCAAAACTGGCTCACACTGCCCAGTTTGAGCAAGATACAGTCACATTATTGTTTTGCGGGATTTAGACAGGAGAACAAGTTTAATCCTTCCTGCAAGGATCACTTTATTCTCTGCCCACCCCCCCTTGAGAACAATTGGAGATGACTGACAAAAACTGATGCCACACACACTAATAAAAAAAATTAGTATGGGGCAAAACTTAGTCTCAGTATTTTGATATTGTTTCTGCCACACCTGACAGAATGAAAGACCAGACACAGCACGGCTCTCATGTAGGCATCTGTCGGCAGTACAATCAATACAAGATGATAGAAGGAATCTGGAGCATCACTGTTTTATAAAGCAGTCCTTAGTCTGTTGTTGACCTTCTGTACCAAAATCTAGCCCTGTAGTCATCACTGCAGGTCATGAAGCCAGGATTGGTAGGAGAATGCACAATGCAACGGACAATGCTGTTGTGCCCCAGAGAAAGAAGATTTCTCCGTTCAGCAGTCCTTGAGTCCCAGCAGCAGAGGCTTATGGTCCTTTCATCTGGAAGCAGCACATAATCTTCTGTGTGGTTGAAGACAGCTTGGGTCCTGTGTACTTGTCGTCCACTCAAACCAGCTCCTAAATACATACAGCAAAGTATTAACCCAAATTAGGATGAGTTTTAGGAAGTTTCCAAAGACTTAAGAACAAACCTCCCACAAGTATCAATTTCTGCAGTCTGCAAAAGAGCCTTATTTTCTCAGTCTACTGCTTCCATATAAAACAGGTGAGTCAATAATGAGCATGCTTTTGCAGCTAATATACATGGTATATTCTAAGATTTCTTAAAGTACAGAAAGATTAACTACTCCAGCTGTGTCAGTCAAGCACTATGAGTGCAGTCACTTAACTTTAAGAGCACTTTTGCCTTTTATTTTTTGTATGAGACTTACAGCTGTAACTAAGGGGAAATACCACAGACAGTCGAATACAGATTCTCATTACCAAGGACAACTTTTGGTTTTAATGTATACATCACACGGCACATTGTATGACCTAACTTGGCTATACTTCCCCTCCATACCCTTCAAATAAAATGTGTTTCCTATATAGGCATTTACTCTGCAATGCACACCTGCATCCTACCTGGTATGTTGCCAAAGTTTACCAAGGAGGTACTGCACTCTGCTGGTTGAGAGCAGATACAGCTAGCATACAGAAAAGGACCATACTCGTCCCAAAAACTGGTGTAAAACGTTTTCAACATCCTCTCGTCTTTTATGCTATGACTCCTAACGCTTACACACATTACTGCCTGACTCAAGCTTCCCTGTTACTTAGCTGCTATCATATGCAAAGCTTCTGCAACCTTCACCATTTAAGTCCTGCAGAGATCAAAGCATGGTATTGCCAGAATGCTCTGAGTAGGACCACCTTGTGTACAATTGAATCCTTCAAATAAACAGGGAGAAAGAAAAAGGTGGGGGGGAAGGAAACCAACCAGCTGTAGCTATTTTAGAATACTGACATGGCTTACTAGAGCTATCTTTTGCACAAGAGTCTAATGGTTAAATGAACTGCCGCAAAGTAGGTTCAATTACCCCTGTCAGAGTGGCTGTTCTGAGGGAACATGGCCTGCCCTAGCCAGAAATAAATTAGGTATTAGTTTTGACCCTTCCAGTTTAAACTGTGCCCCTACTCTAGCTGGAAAAGTGATGATGTATTTTTGTTTTAATAATCACTGTTTCTAAACTCTCTCCACAAGTGTCCTGGTTAGGGCAGCATTCCTTTTTACTTCCCCCTAATTTAGTCACAACTTCCCTCCAAAGCAACGGAGTAACAGTATCTTAGAAGAGTCTCCAAAATGTACTCAAACTAAATACGTTTACACTGACTGACATACAAGAATCACAGCTTCTCTTCTGGAATTAGTCTACTGAAATGTTTTCAAAAGTTTGGGGCAATTTAACCTCAAAGCAGCAGTCTCCCAGTGCCTTTAAGAACTTCTGTTCTGACAATATTACCACCCCTGCTATGGGTCAGTACCTGAAAGAGAAGGTACTTGGAAGGTCACCTGCCACATACCTGTGTATTTGACCAGTGTTCGACCAGTGGATATCTCCCATAGTTTAGCTACAGAGTCTTTTCCACTTGACAAGATATACTTTGAGTTTTTGGAAAAAATAGCAGAACAGACTTCAGCTCCATCATGTGCCTTCTCAAAAGTAGTGATGCAGCGATTTGAAACACCATCCCACAGTTTGATGCATCCATCCTTACTTCCCGTCACATACATGTTTGCACTTGCGTTGTAATTTACTGAACATATAGCATCAGTGTGCTGATCTTGAGGATTGCAAGACACAAAACACTGGAAAGTATTGATATCATACAGTCGTAAAGTAGGGTGCTGGGTACCAACAAGTATGAAATCTCCCGAAGGGTGAAAAGAAATTGAGCGCAACATCTCTGCCTCCTGTTTGATCAAAAATACATAACCGGTTTAAGAAAAGAAGAAAAGTCTGAAATGGAAGCGTCAATTCTGATGGCATTAGAGTGCTAAAACACTGCTTAAATTATCAGTTAGCACAATGTGTTCTGTTTTTTACAAAATAGAAAATGCTTCCCATAGGATTAAAATGACAGGCTGCCTTAGTTTTTGTCCCGAAGCAGCTTGCAGTGCCTGTTCATTTCTGGGATATTGCACAAGAGTGACAGCAGGCTCTGTCAGCCAGTCACAAACCCCAAAGCCCACCACCATATAATCCCAAACTCCTCCAAAACAAATATAATCCCAAATTCCTCCAAAACAAAGATAATATAATTGATGTCAGAGTTCCCCAGATCAGATTTGATCTAAATTAACAAAAAGCAGACAGGCACTAGATCTAAGGAATGTAGGTACCCATCATGCACAAACTTTTAACACGTAATTACCATAATGTCTCCACATTTTATATCTGCATACTCCTACATACCTAAGCACTTATAAACTCAAACACAATTCAGGTTTCTGCACACGTACATATACATTCAAGCTTTGGTTGCTCTGAACTGGTATCGTATCTAACCTGTATGTATTTGAAGGCTCTTTTGGCAGAAGGTTTTGAATAATCAAACAATTTAAGTGTATAGTCCCTTGAACCAGATGCTAGGATCTGTTCTGTTGGATGAAAAGCTAAACACGTAACTTCATCCACATGATCGTACAGAGTCCGAATAACAGGATGATTTTCCATGTTTTGCTGTGCTGTTTCATTCATCATGACCTACAAAGAACATTCAATGAGTCAGTGTTAGAAAGCAGACATGCTTTTAACAGAGAAAGTAGGTTTTATGCTTGCCAGCGCAGCCAAATAACAATTACCTTTCTGACACATGCCTAGGCACATAATCACTGTTATCTCAATTATCTGAAGGGCCATCAGATACTGTTATCACATAAAATCCCTGTATCTTTAAAAAGGTAAAGTGACTTGCTCAAGGACAAGCTAGTTTCGGCAGTACAGAATGGGTGCAAGAAAACATACCACTTTCATAAAAACCAAGCCAAAATACTGTATTGCTTTAAGAATTAAGGTACACCGTCCCAGCTGGGAAAACTGCAACCTTTACTCACAGGATACTGCTACGAGTTTGGTGTGCACTCTGTGCTAAAACACCCTAACTCACCCACTTTTAAACCGCTACCTGGTAACCACATTGGAGAGAAAAAAAAATGAAGCAAATAAACATGTATTCTGTGAAACAGTTCTGAAACACAGCCACTGGAGGCTGTGGAGGCCAAAGGTGTAAGTGGGCCTAAAAATAAACTGTGTTCATACAGTATAGCAATTATCAGCATCTATTAGAAACAATTTCTGGCTCAATTCTCAAGCCTGCTGCTGAAAGTTACACAGGTATACTTGCCCTATTTCTTCTTCCTTTTCTTCAAGGGTACTTTATGAGCCGCTGCTGGAGTAGGAAATATGGCGAGACAGAACCCACTGAGCCAGCCACAAGGCAGACATGGCATGAAACAGACAGCACCTCAAGAATTCACACAGTGGTTACAATTCAGTCATATTTTACCTCAATAGGCATAGCACTTTTGGCCAACATTCTCTCTGTATCAAGAATTTTTATTGAGGCATCAGCAGATCCTGTAGCTATTAACTGTCCGTCTCTGCTATACGTAGCTACACGACACGGCCCTTTGTGAGATGTGACATAACAAGTCTCATATTCAGAAGCCTCGGGAGACATGGTCTGTACATCTGCATCAAATTCCAAGTCAATTCCTGTGCCTGGAGCCACTGTATCTGACCGTCCAATTGCATACTGAACAGCACTGTCATCATTCTCCATTCCTGAAAAAAAGAAGTTGATGCACTTAAACCAAGTTAACCTTCTCCTTAGACAGATAGGCTGTGGCCAGATCTATGCTACAGCCTTTGGTAACAGCTCCTGTTGAACAAAGCTAAGCTAGCAGAGCAGATTTAGTGACACAGCAGTACTTCTTATGAAAAGCGAAAAGTAATTTGGCTACCCAGGAGCAGAACACAGCTCTTAAAATTAACCGTGAAAATACGACCAGCAAATACTGTAGAATGTCAAGTACTGACAAATGCACCAACAATCGAGTCACTGAAGCCACTGGCAGCTTTTCACAGAGAGAGAAACAAGTCCCAGCACTGTTACATGAGATTTAAAATAAAAGACTGAAGCATTTACCAATTCTTCTCCTTTCTGTTTCATTGCATTGAAGGAAAAAAACCTCTACTCCAACAACTACTGCAGCATTGCAAATGAAAATTTTTACTCCTCTTCACACCCACCCTCCTATAGATTTTTATTTATTTCCAGGATGCATCTACAAAGACAGTTCAGCACTGGAAGTGGTAACAGGGCAGACGCAAGAATTTCTAGCTGTGTGCCCAACTTTGATCATCAATCCATCAAATTCAAGTTTTTCTTGCTCTTGCTTTCATCCACATATTGCAAGTTTAACATTCTTATTTCAGGCACAGGGCTTCACATATTTATACCCTTGGAAGTCGACTAGTTCAGGCTGCAGAACCAGTTCAGTTACAGTATAAGAAGACATGATGCTATGGCTAGATCTCTTCCAGTATCTTAGCTTGTTTCAACAGCAGGTCTGGTGCTGTGACTACATACTGCAGCACAGATGTACTTTCAGAGAGAAAAATACACAGAGAGAAAACAAGCAATACCTCTGCTGAGACCCTAGATTGTGAAGCTTATTTTCTTGAGACTGATATATAAATGCTAGGAAAGACTGCCAATGGAAGGGCTTGCTCCCTTTCCTATACTGTCAGCAAGAATCACATAGAAAATATTTCTAAACTTGGCACAGAACTGTGTGGATCAATTTTCTATTAGGTCTGTGGACTCAGTGATCCTGTTTACTGGAACATGCTTTTACAAGGTTGCCAGTCACCCAGGACCCTGAGCAAGTATTCTTATGTGTTATGGAAGTGCAAACAAATGGATTTTGACTACGTTTAGTGATGTCTTGCTTTTAATGCAAACTAAACAATGAAACACAGAGCTAGAATACCCTTCAAAAAAGCCAGAGGCAAAGGCTTTATCTAAGTATGTGGAGTGTTACACTATTACTACACATAACCATTGCATTCTTATGCAATACGTCTTTTGACGTATTGTCAGTGACTAGCCTCTTAATTCACAAGGATTTAAGCTAGAGATTTAGAAACTAGACTTTTGTGTTAGCTTTTTATTGCAGCTTACCTAACTTAATTAGGTGCAGCAGTTGTTCAGATGGTGCACAGACTGATTGTGGTTTTATCTCATTTATCAAGCCATTGGCAATATTTATGTATCCATCATATAGCAGCTGACTAATTATCAGTTTATAAAGTTGCTGACGGTCTTTCAAACTGACTTTTGTTCTATACATTGTGAGCAAGGAATGCCTTGGAGGGGCCTGAAATAAATAAACAAGAAAAATCACATACAAAAGAGTTTCATGAAACAGGCACAACCTTTAAATAAAGCACATCCTGCCCATTTTCAGTGCAGACACCTTTATTTTAGGCAAGAATCAGAGACAGTAAACTGAAAGGAAAAAAAAAAAAGGAGGAAAAACCTGTTGCACTTGTCTGTAGAAATGAAAATCTCGCCAATAAACAGAGCATGAACTGTACATTAAGGAGCAATAGAGGAGGCAGAAATAATGCAGCATTAGTTAGCAGAATGATTCTGTCAAGACCTTTCACTGAGCCCCGCCAGAAGGCGGCCCCGGGCACTGGGGAGAGGATCGACCCAAACCATGCAGGGCAGCCCACCGCTGGCACCCTCCCGCCT